CCAGGAGCCTTCCGATTCTGGGTATTGTCCAGTCGGAAAATCGGTTTAATAAATATAAATAAATAAATACATCACTAATATAAACGCTACACGAATGTGATAATGAATATTACTACATGAATTAAGAAACAGGTAATGAAATATCGCTGGAATAAAAAACACTTGGCGAGACTGAAGAAGGTTCGTTTGTAGGGAAACAGGAACCAAAAATCACGTCCCTCTTGTTCATCAATTTATTATTTATGAATCCCTTCAGGTCAATTCCTTTCGTCTTATTTCACGTTTTAACGTGAACAAAAGAATTCATATACATCGAGATCTGCGTATCTATCCACATGGATGCTTGTAAAAGGTGGTAAAAGTTCACGCGAATGACGGAACGAGCCGCGTGTCGTACATAGATACACCGTGCCGCGCAGCATGATTTGATAAGTGGCAGGGGGTCGAAAGGATGTATTGATGACGAAGAAAGAATGCGGGACCCAAACCTATACCTCGATCGAAGTGAACTCACGATCAGGACCGCAACCAGATAATGGACTGGATGCCCAGCGGTTGCGGCACGCCGCCGATTTCGGGGCTTCGTTCATCATATCCGGCATCCTGGCGGTAACGTTCAGGACGATGACTGCTCCTTTAGAAAGGGTTAAATTGATTTTACAGACTCAGGCGAGTAGCCATCAAATAGCTCATTCGGATCGAACCGCGTACAGAGGAATTACAAACGCTTTTATCAGGATACCGAAGGAACAAGGATTTTTCTCCCTATGGCGCGGGAATTTGATCAACATTTGTCGATACTTCCCCGCGCAAGCGATCAATTTTTCCTTCTTCGATTTATACTATGAAATCTTTGAGCAAGTACGCCAAACGATAGTTAACCCATTTCCATCATAAATTGCCGTCTCCGTGTCTGTTGCGACAGCAGTTATCTTCTCTAATTTATAAATTGATTTATTAACTAATAAAATAAAGCAAATAATAATAGACGCGACCATTTCTGGTCGAATAGACTGCAATAAAGCTATATATACTAATAGACGTTAATTGAACGATGGAAATGGGTTAAACAAGAAGATGCTTCGCCGCTTCTTTTAACAAATTCTGTTCCTTGAAATCACGCCGTCAATAGTGTATTACGCAGGTGATTGAGTCGAGGACAGCTCACACCCACGACATTCTACCGTTCCTAGCCGGCGGTGCCGTCGGCTTCACTTCCTGCACGCTTCTCTATCCCCTTAGTTTCTGCAATACCCGAATAACCGTGGACATCGGCGACAGCAAAGAAATTAAGAGGGAATTTCACGGTTTGCATGACTGCATGTATAAAGTGTATAAAAGCGATGGCTACAGAGGGTTTTATCAAGGATTGACGTTCGCCTCTACCGGCCTGACCATCTACAGGTTCGCAGTTTCCAGTTCTCGGAGTCGTCCGAATCGCGTGAAAGACAAATGCTCTCTTCTCATTTTATAGGGGTATTTATTTCGGCGTTTACACGCTTGGTAAACGGACGTATTTGGGCATTTCTGGACAGGATAATCATACTTTGCACGCGCCGTTCATGGTATCTCTATCCCTCGCTATATCGGCGTCAGCGATTGCAACGTACATGTCCTATCCGTTGGACACGTTGTCCAGACAGAAAATGCTTTTTAGCGGGCGTGGTGTCCATAATTATGTACCGGTTAAAAAGCTAGTCAGTAACTTTACTCTCCCGATGTTCATTGACAACTCAATTTCTAATCGCGTATCGCATATAATTAGATTGGTAATATCATGAAGAAAGATGGCTTACGTGGCTTTTACAAAGGTGTCAATGCTAATTTATTGACCACTCTTTGCGGATCCTTACTTCTGGCTACCTATGACATAATCAGGGGACTTTACGACACGATGAAAGAGAGCAAAGTATTCCTAAGATTCCTATCGATGATTATCGTAGTTTCGATTTTATTTTTCGATTTACTACACTTTTATTTCTCAGGCTTCCAAATCCGATGCTTGAAAGTGGGGTGACGCGAAATCGCCAAACACGCAGAAATATGAATTTAGATTTAAGATAATATACTTTATTGTGCATTTATACATAATAATTTTTTATAAGTGAATAAAACGTGACAAAAGTAAATAAAAAACTACAAAATCTATTCCTGTATTTCATACGTTCTTTTATAAATTAATTCGTCATAACAAATTTGTTTAAGAGATATACGTGGAGATTGAACAAGTCGGGTCAAAGTTTACGAAAGAAAAGTGTGACCTAATACAGATAATCTTTATGCAACGTTTCGTAGAAATAGTATAGCCTTATCGCATTAAGGGACCTACCACAAACTTTTAAAAAATTTCATAGAATACTTTTCTTAATTAAAAAAAATTTCCAAGAATGATCTAAATTTTAGGCGGTCGCACTGGGTAGACTCCTTAATTCCGAGCTTAAACAATAATTCTATCATCTCTAACGGTAATAACGTATGACGTAAGACAGTAGTGTACGATGGAGTTTTATCTATTAGATAAGTTAACGCGAAGGAATATCTATCATTCATTCTATGAAACGCTTACGTTTGTGCTTACGGCTGACTTACGCAATTCAGATTCGTAACATATGCATATAATCTTTTTGATTACGAGCTACGCGATTTCTCTGGTTTTCACTGGTTAAACGCGACACCTGCAAAGGGTTTCTAAATCCCCGTGCGAACACGCACTCGGTGTCGTTCGGAAATTAGAAAGAATGCTCCATTCCCAAGCCCCGCTCACTTATTGTGAATAAATTGCGTGATAACGGAACATTTCCTTCAGTAGAGAGCTATCATAAGACCGTTGACGCGCGGAGCGCTAACATGTCACGATCGAGCGCAGAAAATCATATAGAAAGAAGTAAGAAACAGAATCAGGACAGAGGATACATGGAGCACCTGAAGCACACCGGTTTAGTCAGTGAAAGTGTTCCCGATGTTCGCGTGCTTGTTATTTATACCGGTGGCACCATAGGAATGATGAGGAACGAAAAAGGAGGTAAAGAGCTTGTACATAACTTTTTTTTTTAATTCGTATGCAAATCTGTAAAATTTAAACGAAAACCCGTTTTAGTCCTGGTACCGAAGGCTAACGCGTTCGTGAAAAAACTACGCAATTATCCGCATATCCATGACCGCGAATACGCAGACAAACGATTTGGACCGATGGGACCATTGGTACTTCCGTAAGTAAATTAAGGCACTTGTTCAAATAGAAAAAGTAGCATGAGATAAGTAACAGAAGAGCCTCCTTCTTCTTTTTCTTCTGTTTCTCTTTAATGAAGGATCAACCGTACAGATAATAAGCGTGTTATTTGCACCGTGTTGGAGTACACACCGCTCTGCGACTCCAGTGACATGACTATGGATGGTTGGATTCGTATCGCAAACGATATCAAAGTAAACATTTTTGTGTTATATAAATGTAATAAATGAAGCATTCGTTCATATTTATATGTATGCGCGAAGAGGGTCGAGTTTTCATGCCATTTCATATTTCAGCAATCGTACGAATACTTTGATGGATTCGTCGTTTTACACGGAACGGACACGTTGACTTACACGGCTTCCGCTCTGTCCTTCATGCTCGAATCTCTGGGGAAGATCGTGATCTTAACCGGCTCGCAGCTCTCGATTTTCGACTCGAGAAGCGACGGCCTCGATAATTTTTTAACGTCTCTGATGATAGCCGGGAATTACAATATACCGGAAGTGTGCGTGTACTTCGGGACCAAATTGATGAGGGGGAACAGAACAAGCAAACTGTCGACGAACGCGTTTGAGGCGTTCCACTCGCCGAATTATCCGCCTTTGGCTAAAGCTAACATCAAGATCGATGGTTTGTTACGCGAAATTTCAATTGACAACGTCTAATTGATTTTACGATGCACTGATAATTAGAATAATATGTCTTTAACGTCTAGTGGACTATCGGTCGATATTCAGGCCGTGCACGATAGAAAAATTTCACACCTACGCGTCCTTGAACAGAAACGTGGGCATGCTTCGAATATTTCCAAGTATAACCATGGAGCTCGTAAGAGTATTCTTGCAGCCACCGATAGAAGGGGTCGTACTACAGTCATACGGAGCGGGGAACGTTCCGATGAACCGGGAGGATTTGTTTAAAGAATTAGAGGCTGCCACGAAACGAGGCATCGTCATAGTCAATATCACCCAATGTTCGACCGGTTGTGTTTCCGCTTCGTACGAATCTGGCAAATTGTTAGAAGAGGCTGGTACAGAAAACGATCATTTCTAATTGAACAACCATCGATCCATAACAAAAAATTATCAAACGTTTGATTAAAATTGACAGGCGTGATATCTGGCGCTGATATGACGCCGGAGGCTGCGTTGACCAAACTCGCTTATGTATTGTCGAGGCAAGACTGGGACGTAGCAACAAAACGTGAAATGATGCAAACGAATTTGCGCGGGGAATTGACTGGCGGTCGGCCGCAGTCCCTCGACGATCTGGATTTAGTAGAAGCAGTTGCGAGGTCATTGAGGACCTCCTCTGCGGCTGAACTCGAGGAACTGGGATCAATTCTGTTCCCTGCGATGTTAAATGCTGCTGTGAAGAATCACGACATAGCGAAGCTGGAAGCCTTAAAAGTATACGTACGCATTTTTATATCATTATAAATTAACGATGTTCGTTTGTTTCAATTCAATTTATTTCTTCTATCATTTTCGTTTGGTAAATGTTTTTGTTGTATTATTACAGGGTGCGAATATCTCGCAACAGAATGCGGATGGCCGGACGGTGCTGCACGTGGCTTGCTGCGAAGGTGACGTGAACATCGTACGACGTCTCTTACGAAACGGCGCCAGTATTCATATAAAGGATCGATTCAATCGTACGCCTCTCACCGATGCGATAGAATTCGATCATCACGAGGTATGTCCGAAGTTGATTTGAAAATTAGGCGAAAAAGACGAAATAGAAACTGTCTTCATAAAAATTGTAAAATTAAATGTCACTTCTCAAACGTACGTCAGTATGACTGATTAGTGTTGCCCGATATTTGACACCATCAACATGTGACAAAAATCTCTCAATATTTTTCCGACTACCCAATACATATGTGTGTATCAGCATCGATTATTTCAGATAATTCAGATTTTGATGCAATGCGGTGCACACTTGCACGAGAACGCGTACATGATAGGAGAAAGGATGTGCCTCGCTGCGACCACCGGGAACGTGAAACGTTTAAAATCTTATCACTTGGCAAAAGGAGATTTATCACAAAAAGATTTTTCCGGGCGGACGCCGTTGCACTTAGCGGCACTCCATGGCAAACTGGAGGCAATGAAATTCTTATTAGAATGCGGCGTGGACACGGAGTGCTTCGACGCGACTGGTCGATCTCCTTACGACTTCGCCGAAATCTCAGGTTCACCGGAAGCGATGTCCCTTTTGTCGTCGTCCAGTTCGAAAAACAATAAGAGACAATAAAAGAATGAAAATGGAAACTGAATTATGAAAGAGTTCTTAATTGAATAATAAATTTATAATTAGTGTCGTAAGATTTGTCGGACTGATTGAAATGCTGTACCGACGACGCTAATGATTAAATACGCGCTTACACGCGTAAGATATTTCGGACAATGGTTAACAAAAAAGCGAAAGTCTGAAATGGCAGGTCAGTGATTATCAGTGGAAGCCATGCACGCGAAGACGTTTCACACCACGCGAGTTCAGATAATGACGTGAAATCTCCTTGACCGGTGCGAACTGTCAGCTCCCTGTATGTACAAATACACAAATATGTTCTTTGTAACATAAATTATGTATTACATTTTTAGTACAAAAATAAATTCTATCTTGTCTGTACAACTGATAGGAAATATTTATTATCCTTGCGTTATACCAAACTCCTTCAACATATTTTTTAGAAGCTTCGAAGTTATATAACAGTCTTTGTAAACGTGAGCGCAATCGTAGTCTCCCTTACGCCCAGTAGCCACAGCGTCTTGAACGATGGTGCCGTTCGTCGCGTCTTTGAACCACTTGTGACTGTTTCCGATCGATTAAATGTTAATATCGAGCAAATTAACATCTCGGTTATTCGGCTTCTATTTAATTTTACCTTGAGAGTCCATCGATTATTTTATCCATGCTCGTGGGATTCTCCGTGTGCGAGGCCACTGAAACGAGCGAGCAAACGACGCGTTGCACGCACGGAACTACGTAATTGTTGCCAAAAAGGATTTCGTTCATGCTTCCCATTTCCAACCATTGCCCGCTGTCACTGTCCATAGAACCTACGCGACAATGACGAATGCAAAAGGAAAACGCGAGTACAAGACACGTATACAGGGTGTCCCAGAAAAAGTATTGAAGCCGAAGAGAGGTGATTCTGTAAGTGTTTCTGAACAACAGTTTCCTCTGCCAAAATGCAAAGTGAGGCTTGGTTTTTAAATTATTTACGAAAAATACTGAGCGTCACGATCCGAGCCAATCTACCCATGACTGAGCGCGGGTTCTATACGTTCTCTCATTGGTCAGTGTTCTTCATTAATAATTCAAAAACCATGTCTCACTTTGCATTTTGCCAAAGAAATTGTTGTTCAGAAACACCTGCAGAATAATCCTTTTTAGACTCTAACACTTTCTCCGAGACATCCTGTATATTTGTAGATGAATTTGCCAATGAAACGTACGATAATTGTAATGATGATGTGTTTTGGATAATAATGGTGAAGTTATGCCTAATAACGTAGTCAGTAATCCAACGATTCCAAGTCCTTTTGAATTAATATTCAGCAACGGTGATACTGATTCACCATTTTCCCCTATCCTCCGTTCGAGTGGTAGCGTGATAAAAGGAATAGTTACAGTAAAATCGATCTGCGATAAAGTAAACGTGAGCGCAATCGTAGTCTCCCTTACGCCCAGTAGCCACAGCGTCTTGAACGATGGTGCCGTTCGTCGCGTCTTTGAACCACTTGTGACTGTTTCCGATCGATTAAATATTAATATCGAGCAAATTAACATCTCGGTTATTCGGCTTCTATTTAATTTTACCTTGAGAGTCCATCGATTATTTTATCCATGCTCGTGGGATTCTCCGTGTGCGAGGCCACTGAAACGAGCGAGCAAACGACGCGTTGCACGCACGGAACTACGTAATTGTTGCCAAAAAGGATTTCGTTCATGCTTCCCATTTCCAACCATTGCCCGCTGTCACTGTCCATAGAACCTACGCGACAATGACGAATGCAAAAGGAAAACGCGAGTACAAGACACGTATACAGGGTGTCCCAGAAAAAGTATTGAAGCCGAAGAGAGGTGATTCTGTAAGTGTTTCTGAACAACAGTTTCCTCTGCCAAAATGCAAAGTGAGGCTTGGTTTTTAAATTATTTACGAAAAATACTGAGCGTCACGATCCGAGCCAATCTACCCATGACTGAGCGCGGGTTCTATACGTTCTCTCATTGGTCAGTGTTCTTCATTAATAATTCAAAAACCATGTCTCACTTTGCATTTTGCCAAAGAAATTGTTGTTCAGAAACACCTGCAGAATAATCCTTTTTAGACTCTAACACTTTCTCCGAGACATCCTGTATATTTGTAGATGAATTTGCCAATGAAACGTACGATAATTGTAATGATGATGTGTTTTGGATAATAATGGTGAAGTTATGCCTAATAACGTAGTCAGTAATCCAACGATTCCAAGTCCTTTTGAATTAATATTCAGCAACGGTGATACTGATTCACCATTTTCCCCTATCCTCCGTTCGAGTGGTAGCGTGATAAAAGGAATAGTTACAGTAAAATCGATCTGCGATAATTAGAAAAACAAAGAATACGCGAACTGCGTTTATGAACATTTGAAAAATAGTACGTCTTACGCTGAATTGTTTTTCTCCTGAATCGAATGAGATCAATCCTCCGTTTGGATGCTTTCCAAATGTCTTAGCCTGACTCCTGGAACTCTTATCCTTCGCATCTTTCGATTCGGAAGATCGTGATAAAGAACAGAGTAGCAACGATAACGTGACTAAGCTTTTAATCGAACTGTTCATCGTGAATAATTTGTATAATATTTGAAATAATAGAATACAGTGAATCGACTAATTGGAACGAGCACAGACAGCAGTATGACAGATCCTCTATCTGTTGCCAGTTTTTGTAGAGGGCACGGAGCCCACTCTCGACAAGGAAATTCTGTTTCTACAAACGGAATTAACGAACCTAACGAGTCCTGTTGAAATTACTGCCTCTTCTGTCTGTTATGCTGTTCACCGTCACGGCTGAAAATTTGCCAGCATTCCACGTTTCGTAATTGCACTTGCACTCGTTCATTTTCACCTGCAAACGTTTCGCAAACTTCTCTTAAGCGTCGTAAATTCATACTCGACACCACCTACACAGAACGGGTTCGTTCAACTGATCTGCTCGCAAATTGAGAAACACTGGGAACAATTTTTAATCTATATCTGCATTCGTATACGAGTCGTTTGTTGGTGCACGAGCCACCGACTTTCGTGAATTTTCCAGGGCAACCTGCAGAACGAATTCCTTGTCTAAAAATCAAGAGGCACAGTTGCGAGACCGCGCATGCCGTACGCCGTACGCTATGCCAATTTCACCAAGTTTCTACACTGACCGTTTTACGAATAAATCGAATACTATAAATAATATATTTTATTCTTCTACGTACACAAAATGAGACCATTTGATAATATAAAAAATTTATTCTATCGTCGCGATGCGATCTTGTCGACGACTCGATCGTCGACATGAACATTGAGAGATAGCAATAACATGAGATAAAGTAGATAATTTGTCAACACCAAGGATTTAAGATTAAGCGAGCGTTAAGATTGCGAAAGATAAATGATTTCAGGCTGTACCACGACAATGCCGTCGCGAGTGATTCGCGGCGACGACAGTTAAAGCCCCTCTGCTTCTTCAGGGGAGACGACCGAGTCACGCACCGTGATAACGTCCCATGAAAATCTAACAATGAAAGCGAAACCAGCTTCAATTATGTCCATGGTTTGTCATGTCACGGAGTAAGTGCACGGCTATATATGCCAGGAGCCACGTCGGTGTCCTCCAGTTTATTCAAAACACGACCGCGCGTCTCTTTTTCTCAACGTCTCAAGGTATATAATGTTTTCTGTGTACATACAAGCTTTCTTTAATACAAATCATATCAGATAGGATCAATCTATCACAATAAAATATTTCTTTATGATATTTTTCAGATGACGCCATATTTAAAAAATTTCATTTTACTCCTGATCTCTTCGGGAATAGTCCGTGGCAGCCCAAAGTTTGATGACGGAGGGTAAAGTAACAATTACGATCAATTCTTATCTTTTATGATTTTCTAAAGTTAATTAGAAGTATTGAATAGGTTCGTGCCGAGTTCCATGATTTATTTGGAAAAGAGCGGAAAGTCTCAGGACCAGGTTGCTATGCCGTCGCAAGTGGAATTAAGGAGCGAATCATCGACGAAACGGGGTGATACAGTTACAAACGATATAATGGATCGCGGCCAGGAACCTCGATTCGGTTTTACGAATCTGGGTACCACCGCAAGTGTAAGTCATTTCAATCTTGCATTTGATATATCAGATATTTGTTAAGGATGTATTGGCTATACAGTCAATCCCAAACGTTTATGCACTTCAGAAACGCATTTTTTAAAAAGAAATCAGACGTCGGAAGAACATTGCTAGTAATAAACAACAAAAAAAAATTTTCGATTTTTCCGAGATTTTTCCAAGGGGTACCCCTTCAGATTTCGCGAAATTTTCGTTTTTTGCCCATAACTCCCAAACGGATGGAGATACGGGAAAATTGCTTCAGACCTTTTTTGTAGAGGACAATGAGACCTACAATTTCCATGTAAAAATTTTTAGCTAGCGTCTATAGNGTTTCGAGTTATCCTCCAGCAAAAATTGACTTGGGAGGTCTGATCCTGGGCGCTATTCTGGGAATTGGTTCTATCCTCATTATTCCTAAGCTGCTGTACGTCATCTCTGGTAGTTACGGCCATTACGCAAGAAGTAAGTCGACTTAATTCTTCTCGATCAAATAAATTAATTTTTTATTTACTTTATAATTTATTTCTACTAATAATTTATCGTTGCTGTATTGCTGATCACAGGTGAGGACAGCGGTTTCACTCAAATCATGACTAGAATGGACGACGTCCTGGCGAGACATGGAATCGACACGACGTCCTGCATGCAACGCGCTGTGTGCACCTATTCGCAACAAGCCGCGGCGTCTGTCAACGAGAATAAATTAAACGACGACGACGACAACGAGAAGGTTTCATCATTTGATCGAGCGATCAACACGATTACAACGAATCAGATATTCCGGACCGCGATGGAGGGAACTGCGATACAAGAAGCTGTGGAAACAGGGAGAGCCGGCAGAAATTGTTCACGGACTTATCCGCACTGCGGATTCTCCATGGAGACTATGTTATCTTTATTATCAAACGTAATCGCTGCTGTTAATACGGGAACTACGACTCCAACGGGAACTGGCACTTTGTAAAAATTATTAGTATTATTCTTTCCTTCTTTTTACTGGAATTATGGCTAATCGATTTTCACGTTTCATTGAAAATTTAGGAAGTACGTTAACGCCATTAATTAAGTGTGCGATTGTGTCACAACATCTTGTGGGGCGAACAAACTCGTGTAGAATTACGGTGTAATCGTTTATTATCTGTTTGGTACACGAGCACAGCGCGCTCACGTTTTGTACATACAACAATAGTTCTTTACAGCCTGTATAAATATATAATTTGTCTGTTCGTTAATGAGTCGCGTGCGAGGTATCGATTCCCATCGGAAGTAGAACGCATTCTCTAAATTAATAACAAACGACCCTCAAGACGATCATCCCGAGGATCCCACGCGATCAACAACACGAAGATTATAGAATATACTTTACATTCGTATGTATGTACGTAGTAAAATTACATCTTTGCAGAAAAAATATTGGGCATCCTCTATTTAGTGTCCTAAACGTTCCTTGGTCCTTAACGAGAACGAGAGATACAGCAAACTTTCTTTCAATTGTTAAGCGCACCTAATTTAATTAATAAACGAAAGTGAAATACCGTACGAATCGTTTTTTCTCCAAGCAAATTTATCTTAATTTTCAATAACAATTATAGTGAGCAGCCTAATTAATTAATTAATTGATTGATTAATACTGCGAACTTATTTGCTTATTTATAGCTCCTGAATAGTTTCTTATTTTACATAAACGTTACTTTAGAAGAATAGGATCTCTGATAATTACATTGTACATATACCGCGACGTACTTACGCTTTTGTACCCGTTTCTCCCATGGACTTGGCTTTTCGTTTTCTACATCTAGATAACGACACTTTTAAACAACTTTCACTTAATAGCACCGCGGCACGGCACATCGCTTTACATAACGATCATTTCATGTACTGTCGCTTCGGCAGGAGCAGGATGACTCCTATGGCGACGCACACGTGCCACAGACTGTGTACGATGTAATAATTTCTTCTCGTCTGCAGAAACGCGTAGCAGACGAGACCTAGCGAGACTAGAAGGAGACCAGCCGGAAAATAAATGCTCCTGTAAAACGAGATACGATCACGTTTGATTCATCGACGAATTTTTATGATTGTCGATCGGAAAGATGAGAACTTACCTGTAAGGACGCGAAGGATAACGAACGGTGCCTCTCCTCTTGCATCTTATCCCCCAAGAGAGTCCGATCAGTGCAGACCCTGTCATAGCTGGCAGAAGGAACACCCAGAGCGCTGTGCGGTCCATCTCAGCGCTCATAGCGAGGATAACAGCCCCGGTGGTCTGACAGAACGCGGTCAGCTTCGGGCCGAACGACGCCATCGCGACTAGAGTCACCCAGATAGAGAGAAGAGCGTTGAAGAAGTCGCAGAATTGCAACACGCTCAATCTCATGATACAAACGCTGTACACGTCCTCTCCAGCTTCGCACGCGTGGTAGAACGTCGAGAAGAACATCACCGCGGCATAGACGATCGCTTCTGTGAAATACTCTCTACGAACGGCCACGTAAACCGATCCAATAAACGCGAGATTGCTGAACGTCAACAGCAGCATTCGGATGATTATATCACTATTGCCGAGGACGTAAGTGTCGTCGGCGCAGTCGAACCCCCGATACGCCCCCGAGCAGTGACAGGCGGCGAACACGAAACCGCCGCTCATATAATGCATGCACTTTCCTTGAGAATTACAATTACCCTCGATGCAGGGTAGAGACGAGATACGACTTTCTACTCGGGCGTCGCAGGGGGTCATGCAGTCACAGTCTTCGCAGGCTGTCCCGTTTAGGCAGCTCGCGGTGCAATGGCAGTTTTCCTCCACGCAGAACGCTCTTAAGCTCAAGTGCCAGATTCCTGGTTCCGGGAACGGGATGTGGAGACTAGCTGGTCCCGTCGAGTTCACGTAAATGTCTGCAGGCGTTGTCGCGTTCTCCATACGGCAGCACGCTCCACCGGCAGTGATGTTCGAATAGTAACCTGCTCGAAGCATTTCGCTACTGACATTCGATTCTCGGTAAAAGGAGCTAAACTTCAGGACTGACCTAATGAAATACACGCGGCTACGACGACGTTTCTCTTCTCCTTCTCCTTCGTCTTGTCTTCAGTATCGACGAGCTTCAAACTCAACGTCAACGTACCCCCAACGTCGTAGACTCGACCGATCTCGAAGCTGAGGACGGACAGTGTTTCCGCGGTTAAATTGTACGCAGATGGTTTACTGCTGTTACCGCGAAGATGTTCATAATCGAAGAGGAAGAAGTCGGGCAGGGATTTTCTCATCAGGCCCACCGACCTCACCTGGCCGGAATCGGTCGGTGAACTATCCAGCAGCTGCAACGACACGTTCGAGGCCTCTCCGGAGATTAAACGTAATGTAACGTAGTGATATGCGTCTGAGAAGGGTTTGAACGATACTGTGACGTTTGTACTGTTCACTATTGCTCCTATTATATGATCCTCCGCCGTCACGTGTACCGTGATCGTGCATTCCTCGCCACAGGTCGACCTCAGGAAGAGGCTCGAGTCTACGAACTCGTCGGGGATCATTAATTGCATCACTGCAGAATCCGAGCTCTCGTTCATATGCACTTCGTATTCCCATCTTGGGTCCATCGGCATTGTTATCGCAGCGGTTTCCAACAGCAATTCAGCGTCTAGTACGGTTTCGCACGACGCTCCGAGCCCTGGACCCGAGAAATTCATATTTATTTCGCGTACAATGAAGAAATATGATCAACATCATGTCTCCGCGTCATATTTTATTCCGAACCTTGTTGCGTGATCTTGCCGTTCTCAGGATCGCTCCAGGATCGAAACGCGATCGTGTACCAATCTCCCGGTTCGGGTGCATCAATTCTAATCATGTATTCGTCCCCGTTGCTTTCCATGTTTAAAGAATAATATCGCCGCCTGCCTTTCATCAATTTCGCTGCGATTTTCGATCCATCCGGCCGCACGAACGGCAGACTGCCTGATTTCAAGAACACGGAGACGTCTCGAATCGGGCATTTACCTATTCCTCCAATTTTCTCTTCTTTCACAACGAACCTGAAACCAATTACAAATTCAAAAACCATTTATGTGAGATTAAGAAATCTGTTCGTCATCGTTCGCCTTACGATTCCATCTTCATCATTTTTGCGTATTTTCAGATAAACCATTTATTAAAGGATCGCTTATGGTAGTTTTATTTGTTTGAACTTTACTTGAATGCTGCAGCGACTGTGCAGTCCGGGATGTTGAAGTGGATGATGGTGACGTGACGATAGGCGTAATAGTCGTCGAGAACGTTGTCGGGTCGGTGCGCGACCCGTTCGAGTTTGCCGCACAGGCCTCGTTCTATGATCCATACCAAAAGGATGATCGTTACGCTGTCTCGCATATTATAGATCCTGCGATTCGCTGCATAACAGCCAACTTATACTGCCTCGACGATCTGTGCAGCAGATATATTATTTTCAGAAAGCCAGCTTAAACTCCAGTGAATAATACATTTTCAAGATTGAGTAAGATTAGTGACGCGTTAATACCGGATTTAATAAAGGACTTTAACGGACGCATTAAACTTCTGAATTAGCGACGATTTCAAGATTAACGTCGCGTCAACCTTGATCAGGAAATATTCCAATTCGCGTTAATTAATCTAACAAGCTACACCTTTGCGCGGCTCGCATCAGAGTTTAAAAAAGATGATGCGTGACCAAGTAGGTCAGATTCCACTGCTAATTCCCGCGCTTCCTGCGCTATCAAGACGCGATCGTTTCCGCTCGCGTAGCAGCCGCTTGAAACTTAAAGTTCTAATCTTTTTCATAAACAAAATCGTACCGAGGTTTATGAGTTATTAGCGGACCTTATCGCGTAGGAACTCGTAAACCATAATTTTACCGGATTATCAATAATCATAATAATACACACATTAAACGATAATGCAGATATTTTTGCGTGCGTATAAGATATCTGTGTAGGACTGCCGAGCAATAATCGAACTGAATAATGCATGCAGAATTGATTTTCTATAATACTGAAACGACTGTTCTATCTTTAATATGTAATTGACGATTCGTTTCCTTTTGAATTGAATTGAATGTATTCGAGGAACTTCTTAAAGCTCTCTGTCCGCGGACAATTGTGTACAATTGTATTTCAATTAGAAACATTTAGCATTTACACGCGCGCTTGGTGGAGAAACGAATGGTAAACGCGCTTAAGCGCTTGGTTTGAAAGTAGAACGCAAACAATTATCACTTTTATTTTTGTACCTTATATATATATAAATCTCTTTTAGTAACAACGCACGTTAAGATAGAGTGGCCGGTGATGCGAGCAATTTATAACGTGGCAACGCACCTACACGCGTTTACATCCGATTAACGTCATTACACGGACGAACGACATAGAGGAGGGTCGCTTCACCGAGTCAACGCGACGAAGAAAATCCACCGATTTTAAGTATCTGTGCCCTTTTTTGAGCAACAAGTGTCTCTAAACGGCGATCGGTTCATTTTTTTAAATAATCGAAGTTAGCGCGCGAACACCACCCGTGATCTCCCCGTGACCCTCGTCGTCGCCAATTCGGGAATACGCATTGCCCGCAACTGCAACGTTACGTTAGTCCCGCAGCGATCGAGTATTCGCTCGCTAAGCTCTTGCACTCTCACACTATCTCAGCAACGCACTCTCTTAACATATGCATTCTCTTAACAGACGTCGATTGTCAAACCTGAATTTATAATCTTTTAATATCCGTAAGAAAAAACTATATAGGAACAACACTCCCGGAATCGTAGCTTGAAGAGTTCACTAGGCCAGTCCGGTTTATCTTTGAGGCAGGGGGACATCGATAAGATTAGACGTACGGTTTCGTGCACGCATACACGTAGGCGCGAGAACACGTACCGGGAACTCGTAGGAACACGTGGTCGCTTTGACAGCTCTTCCCGATCTCACGTGAGAGCGCGTTCGTGGCCGCTCCGACTCCGACAGACTGAAAATCCCCGGGAGCTGTTTATTGATCGTGCTCCACCGCGCCGCAACGTCGAGAGACTGCTGCGATTCACCGGTTAAGCGTTTGTAATAGCTTGACCAAGCGTAACACGATGACTGATATCGACTAGCGCTGTGGAACTCGCGCTGTCGAGTCACTGCGAGAGACAGAAGCAGAATTCGTCACGATTATCTAGAATATCTTCTTAATCGGACGTTTAATAAAGGGAATTGAAACGATGACGCGACGTCGTCGAATAGTCGCAGTTTCGACACGTGGGTCGATCAGCTGAGCGCTTCTCGACAGGGTCAATGATCTTTTCTGACGGCTAGTTAAATGCCTTTATTTATAAATGTATAAAACTTTATTGATATGTACAAATACTTAGACATTCGTTGAATAAACTATCTCCATGAGTATTTCATGTGTAATCATTAAAACTCCCATGTATCGACCCACCTCAAAGAATGCATTGGACTCTCAGGGTCTGAGGAAAACGGGCCAACCATACCATAAGCCAATGGAGAAAACAGATAGAAGCTGTAAAAAGAAGTTATATATCTAGATAAATCCACTTCGTTGACCACTTTGAATTTTTTATTAAATGCTACTTACCTATACGTGATAGTAGAAATAACGAGACCTACTATCGTATGGTAGACGACATTCCCAATTTTATTTGGCAAGAGAATAAGTAAGCTCTCGGTGATATAATTCAAAGTTATCCCAGTTAACATTGAACTGTACAATAGAGCCGGGAAATAATGATGGAAATACAATACTCTCGTCATCGCCCAGAATGGCGCGTAATGTAACAGCCAACCGAGGAAAAGCCACTTCCCAGCGTTCAGTATTTTATTCCTCTGTTCAAGAACTTTAGGACTTTCTACGCAACCACGCTGCTGTCTTACGCAAGCGTGAATATACAATATAATAAAGAGTATCAGAAAAGCGATATTGCCCCACCATATAATCGGATTGCCAAGTAAATATATCCTGGGATTGCTACCAGAAAAGAATTGACCCTGAAAATGTAACATTCACTAATATATGTTTTCCTAATCTCGGGAAAAATTACGAGGCATACCCTGTAATTGATAGGCCATTGCCAAGGTTGCGACGACACTTCTCCTTCTTTAAGTTTCAAATCCGAATTCCCTTGCAGCATAACTGCGTGCGATTCCAGAAATCTGTTTAAAAATCCAGGCGCGTACACTTGGAAGCTAACGTTTGGTACTATAAAAAAAAAAGGAATCATTACAATTAACAAAATATCACATTATAAATATATAGTACCGTTGTATGCGTTTAAATACATTTTGCATAGTTGTTATCTTCGATGTTCCATACCGCGTTCTTGTCTCTCATGTTTGGATTACAAGAAACTTCTTGTTGATTGTACGCCCTGCGAGGAAAAATTCATTTTATAAATGACTATGGCTCTTGTGAAAATTTATACAATTCCGTAACCAACCATTTTGGCAATGTTTTACCACTGCATGTTAAAACGCAGTGGTGTAAGTAGTGTACGAGTTTCAATTTACTCGTCACCGTTTCGACCACGTCGCCGTCTCTCCCGTTTGCTATTAAAACCTTCCATACATCGTTCGCGTCGCCGGTACCATTCTACAAAATATTATCGCCTCTTACATTTTTATTCTTGGGGCAGAGAAATAAAAAATACTTACTTCCCCGTATCCTGTAACTTGATAATGCTTTTTTGAAACGGGCGCGATCTCTTTGTGCGAATGTAAATTGCGACGCGTAATAACATGTTCCAGGCGTATCAGGTCGCCGTGTTTGACTAATACTGGTTCCGATGGTATCTCGTTCGTATCAAACTTTTTTACCAGCCATAAATTATTGTCGTCTTTATGCGAATAAGTGGTGATCTAGATAAAATGCATGCGTTAACGTTTAGTTAGCAGCAAGTTATTAAATGATGACTGTTTAGAGTAGTCATCGTACTTGCTGCTGCCTTGCTCCAACGCCTTGCGGATAAAGGTGCCAGTGAGAATGAAGATATCCTCCACCGGTTCTATGATTCTTCAACGTGATCGCAGCTCCGTAAGCTAACTCACGGGGCATCGTCGCGTTGTGCAAAGAATTTCCTTCTAGTAGCGATTGAAACTCGGAACTATAAAATCCATCACCGCTGCCACTACACAATATTTTAAATCGTTGATATGCTATTAATTTCAAATATATACATGTGAATTACCTTTTGTTCAGGATAGCGAGATGAATGTAAAAGAATAGCATGTACAACGATATTGGTAACAAGATTAGACAAATACATCGTGCTAACAAGTGTTTTCCAACGTGCGTCTGTAAAATGATTAAACAGTCGTAATTAATTGTTTCATTTATAAGTTTCAGTTTGAGAGTGACTTACAATAGGCTTCGTCAAGTCTCCTAACTCTCTCCATAATTCGAAAGCAGTGTAAAGTCCAATTAATAAAACAACGAACAAGCCAACAAATTTTACACTGATCGTACAAGCAAGTGAAACTCCTGTAAACGACAACCATCCCCACCATTTCAATGTGAAAGGCTCGTTATGAAGAGCTCCCATACGAGCCATGCCCCACATCGCACACATCATAAAACATAATAATATAGGATCTAGTAAAATGTACTGATTTAACGTCAATAATCCCACGTCTGAAATATACGAATGATACCATAACGAACTGAATTGATCTAATAAATTGCCAGAATAGTATCATAAGTGTATTTGTATGATGTACCAAAGAGAATGAAGAAGGCAGAAAATGCTGCAGCCTGAACAGATTTTGTCAAGTCCCATACAATGAGATATGCCAGTGGAACTATAGTTGCACCTAGAAACGTACAAAACTGAAACAAACGATGTATTTGTAGTTTATCGGGTATCTCAGTACTCGACAGTTTTATTTCGATCATTTATATTGTACTTACAACTCTCATACCGACATATTTTACATCGTCGAACTTGTGTCCTGGTTTCTCAAAAGAAAATGTTCCATTGTATCCAGTCAAGTAGCCAGACAATGCAATTAACATCTGAAAATCTTCCTTGGATAGATACAAATATCTAAGTTCTTAAATCTAAATTAAAAAATTTTATTACCTTCCCAAGAGGTGGATGAACATCAAAGAAAAATGTTCTATTTATGTACCAGCTTCCCATCTTTCCAAAATGTGTTTCGTCCCAACTAAAATATTCACTATTATAATATAGTAATCAGTATAATTGATAAAAGTATTTGTTTCGCAAATAGTTTACCAAACATGTTGCGGTTCTGCAACTTTATAAAACCTTGTGCCTGCTGTGAGTATTACGATAATTCCAAACAGCAACCACCAATTCCTGAGGGAATTCATATTTGATGACCATTTAATTAACATAATAATAAATAAGGAATATAACGTCACTTACGAATCATTCGTGTCTTTTTCTTCTTTAATTGTCGCAAATTTACTATGTGAACGTGCATTTTTCGATTTCTGTGTACCTTCTGAATGATCACCCATATTTATATTACTTTCTTATAATTATAGTTCTTCAGTGACATTAAATTAAATGTCAGGGTGTCAAGAAAACTGTATTGTAAACTTCCTATCTTCGAACACCGCCTAAGGTAAATTAAAGTACCGCTACTTTTTCAGACACGTATGCATGTATACAGTAATACAGTGTCTGCCTAGTGCATGTGGCAAGTGGATCTGGAATTCAGATAGCTGTATGTGTTAGTGACTTTAGTATTCACTAATTCAGTATGTATTCGTGGGAAATTCGAAATTATAATACAAGTTATAATTTTGTGATGATGCACATTAATAAAAGCTAAAATTGAATCGTTTTCAATTGCCATTTATTAAGTAAAATTACTTTATATTATATACAATAATTTATTTAACAAAGTATCGATCAAAAAATGGAGAGAGTATATGTTGCATCTTTAAATTTTATTTAATACAATATATTCTTCACATATATATATATTTTTA